CGTGTCGCAAGACAAAAGCAGGCCCTGGGCAGGAGAGGGGGAGAAGAGAGGGGAACATCGAGGGTATGAGCGCAACTAAATCATGGAAGCTCTACCGCCACGCAACTTCAATACGATAATGAAACGCCTCAAGTACAAAGAAACATGCAACTACACTGGCTGCGATGTGTCGAACGGAGTGTTCCTCCATCGCAACGAAGCAGCCTCTGCACGGATAGGAACACGAGGGTGCCCATACACCGCGTCTCTAGAGAAAAGCATGGCCGTGCTGCGACACTTCGAACCAGAGGATCCCTCATCCCCCTCCCCTCACCTAACCGTCATCCCGATCACCACGAGCTCGCATGAGAAGGCATAATCGGGAGCGGGCGCAACGGGCTGCGATGTACAAAAATGGAACGCGCCACCAGCAGCCGAAAGCGCAGAATGAGAACGAGCTTTGGACGCCCTGTTCGCCGGGAGCCGAGATGGTCGCGAGATGCTATCGGGCCGCGAAGGAACAACTGTGACAACCTGAATGGCCGGGGCACTTCGCCGCCAGGCCCAGTCGGTGCGCAGCGAGGACATGCCCATCCTCCTTCCCGTCCACTATCCTCCATCTTCTCTGGGGCCCGCTTCGGCCGCAATGGTCGAAGGCCAACTACACATTGCAAGGGGCAATGCTGGATGGAAACAAACCAGCATGCTAGCGTGTGGACCCCAAACAATGTTTGGTACTTCCCTTTTTTGACCACCATCGACCCCAAGACAGGAGGGGCAATGACTGCTAGGACCCACGGGCAGAACCCCATGAACCGCCTTGGAAAACACTGAAACAACATACCCAAAGACGCAGAGGACACAGATACGGACACGCAGGGGAAAACAAAGCGGACGCACATGGGCGACGACGCGAAACCTTACATACACGAGCACGTAAACCTTACGGACAGGACCCTCAAGGGTGACGGCCAGAACAACCGACAGACCGGGGGAGCTGAGGGCGGAAGCCTGCGGGCGGAGCTCTGTAGGCGACGACTGCGAAGCCCCAAAAGGAAGGACGAGTGAAGGGCGGGAGCCTATGGGCGGGACGCTGAGCAATTACCGAAAACTCCCAGCACGCCGAAGCGATCAAAGCTGGGCCCCTTCGCGCGGGGGGCCACATGACCACGTGCCACTGCCAGAGCATCCAACCAGCGAGAGCAACTGCACGTGGGGGCCCTCCAGGCGGGACGCTGTCCAACCGCCGCGAAAACGTCCAACCGATAGGGCGACTAAAGCGGGGGAGCCGCGTGCGGGACCATGTGGGAGACGGCGCACAAGTCCAGCATGCGGGGCAACCGATGGCGGGGCCCTAACACGACACCCCAAGAGACAGAACAACTGAAGGCGCGGCCCTGTGGGCGGTGCCCCATGGGCGGCGACCAGAACATCTAAGACACAAGGCAAGCAATGGCGAGACGCTAACGGGAACGGCAGCTACGGGCGGAACCCCACAGGCGGGTACCTGTGGGCGACGACTGAAGAATCCAGGAGACCAGGCAACCGAGGGCAGGACCCAACGGGCAGTGCCCGATGGGCGACGACCAATAAACCAAACAGACAAGACAACCAAGAGCAAGGCCTTATAGGTGGGCGGGATCCTGCCAGTGACGAACGGGACATCCAACAAACCTTGAAGGCCTCTTGGGCCGTCTGGGGCCGATTTGGGGAGCCTTTGGGGCCGTTGCGGCCGCTGTTAGGACTGAAAACCGAAAATCCCGGAAACATTATGTTTTCCATCGGAAATGCTTGATTTTGCCCTTGGGGGTCCTCAGCGGCCTCTTGGACCGTCTTGCAGGAATTCTTCGGGGTCTTTCTGGCCCGTCTGGGGGCCTATTTCGGCCGCCCCGGGTTCCGCTTGGCCCGTCATGGAGAGCCGAGCCCATCTTGGGGCCCTCTTGGGGCCCTCTCCGACCATGTAGGGATCCTTCGGTGGCCCCCTCGAGCCCCCTGGGGACTCTCCTGGGTCGTCTGGGAGCTCTCTTATGCTGCTTGAAGCTCTCTTCAGGCCGTCTTAGGGCCCTCTTTGGGGCCTCTTGGGCCGTCTGGGGCAGATTTGGGGATCCTTCGGGGCCGTCGTGGCCGCTGTCAGGATTTGTTCAGCGAATATCCCGGAAATATGCGTTATCCCTTGGGAAATGCTAGATTTTGCCCTTGGGGGGCCTTCTCGGCGGCCTTTTGGACCGTCTTGAGGGTCTTTGTGGCCGTCTAGGAGCAATCTTGAGCTGTCTTCGAGCGCTCGCTCGTGGACCGTCTTGAGGCCATCTCAGTGCACTCTTCAGCCATCTTCCAGACAACCTGGGGCGATTTGGGAGCCTCTTGGGCCAGCTTGGGGGCATCTGGGGGGTCTGGGGCTCCTTCTGGGCCCTCTTGGAGCCCTCAAGGCCCCCCCGGACCGCCATGCAAACCAAGGGTCGTGGTTCCGACCCCCCCCTGACCTACTCCGATATCTATCCATCTATATATATATATATGCATACAAATGTTTGCATATGCTGTATTAAACCTCTTCTGTCCTTGGGGCTGCCCCCTGACCCAAACAGACAGTGGAACTAGAGCCTGCTGGTCGCTGCTGACCATCTCCGCACTGCCTGGCCACGACGCACTGTGTAGAGACGACGAGGCGGAGGAGGTAATGAGATGAGGCACCGGCCAAAAGCCAGTTCAGGGAGCCTACTCAGGCCCAAACTTGGAGGCCTCAAAAACAGAGACCTCGAAATCGTCGGCGTCAGCGTCACGATCGAGGAGATGCGCGCTCAGGGAGTCCATCCTACTCAAGACCGAACGCCCTCACCACAGCAGTTCGGACCTAACACACCAAAGCCCAGCTCCCCGCCGCATTCACGTCCTGAGCCGCCGTATAGGGGTGGCCCCTTGGGGTGGCCCCTTGGGGCCGCCAAAGATATGTCCTGTGCGGATCGGCAAGTCCTTCAAACCTTTCTTGTAAGAAGGCCAACGTCCGCCTTTGACCAGGCGTAGCTGCCCACCCAGGCCTGAAGACGCGTGCTCGCGAGGGCCTGAGAGGTGGCTTGCACGATGAGAAATGGCACCGCCTGCACAAAAGAAGCACAGAGACAGGCCGCCTTGTTACCAGATCGAGGCTTGGCTCGAGCGGCAACTATCGTTTGGCCATTGGTGCTGTAGCCACCATAGCGATACTGCTGCCAAAACTCCGCTGAGGGTCCCGAGGGAAACGGGTCCTGGGCTCCAGGGCCTTCCCCCCAAGACCACCACTTGTTCATCCTGAATCCTTTTCTGACAGTCCTGGGGCCCATGGAGGGCCCCGAGGACTCGAAACGGAGAAAAACCTCAGGACATGTTTTCCTACGGACCCGCTTCCCCCACCGCGATGGAAACTGCACAGCAGGCGTCTCATCGGCAGGGTGGGCGGGTGGAGGAGAAAGGAGGAGGAGGAGGAGGACCGATAGCATAACGATGCTCTTCGTCACAGACGAGTCAAGAGGATGCAATGGGGGCCCAACGAAATGTGAACAATGAAATCGACGTCTACAACCTTGTCGGCTTAAGGAGACCGATGCGGTTGCGCCGTGGGCTGTCGGAGGGCGCGTGCACCGTCATCGAGCTAAAGTTGCTGGGGCTTGTCGGGGGAGAAACGACTGCATAAGCAGAGACTTTCGGAAATCCGCGCGGATTTCTTGGATCTGCCATGTGTCCCCTCCCCGGCGCGTGGAATTCTCCAAGGGCGGCGCCGGAGACGCCGCCAGGGGGGGTCTGGCGCATATCCAAGAAATAAGCGCGGAGCTCCGAAAACCTACAGTGGATGCCAGTCCACAAGAAACCTTCCACAAGAAACCCAACCCTGAGACCCCAGGACGTTCATTGGTGTGGGGACGTCACGCCTTTTATCGCAAAACCATCGAAACCCAAGAAATCCAGGGCACCCTGGAGGCAAGCAGGGTGTTTCTTGGCATGGGTCTCCACTGTATGTTTATGCCATCTGTTCTTCCTCGACTATCGTCACCGTCTGGAGCCTGCGAGGGCGGCGACGTTCCACGACGGGATGCTGCGGAGGCGTCTGGAAGCTGCCGGGGCTGCCAGATGCTCTGCCTCCCTCCAGGCTGGGCACCTCTGGGCTGCCATGGCAGGAGGGCGCCGGCTCGACACAGCTGCCTAAGAGGAGGAAGGAGGATCGAGCCTGAGAGGGAGGCACGGAAGGCTCGGCTCTAGGCCGTGGTTCCAAAAGGGCGAGCGCCGCGCCCACGGAGTCCATCACTTGCTTCCTGACCTCGGCGAGGCCTTCGTCTATCCCCCGGTACAGCGACTCGCTCTGGCGCACGCTCTGCGCCAGCAGCTGCGAGACCTCTGATAGGCGCAAATCGAGGTCATCATCTTGCGCATGCACCTTCTCCTCGAAGCTGCACAGCTTCTGCTTGACGAACTGGGCGGCAGTCTTGGAGTCTGTGTTCTTCATCCTGTACATCCACTCCACGAACTCGTTCTTGTCGATGTCGCCAGAACCGTCTCTGTCGAGCATGCAGAACATATCCTCTAGGTCCCGGCCGTCGATATCGAGCACACGAAGCCAGTGACTGAACTGCTCAACCTTCTTAGCTCCATCCTTCAACTCATCGATGTCCAGGGAACCGTTGCCGTCCGTGTCCATCTTCCCGAACATGGCTGACAACCTCTTCTTCTCCTCCTCCTCCTCCCACTGGAGTTCCCGGGCTCGTGTAAAGACGTCCTTGGTGCGCGCCTCCGCGAAGGCGTCGACGACCACAGCAACGATGACGTTGAGGACGCCGAAGACGAGGGTCAGCAGCGTCCCGGCGAAGATGACTGCAGTCCAAGGATGCGCCTCGATGACTGGAATGGCCATGAGGCCCCAGCTGTCACCGGCCACGATTGTTTGAAAGAAGGTGACGTTGGAATGGAACACCGACGAGAACGCTCGGGCACACCTCTCACAGTCGGGCCACCTGCCCTCCAAGGACAGCTCCACCACCCTGGGGTGGATGACC